CAAGCTCATAAATATCTAACCCAATTGTCAAACCAATTGACTAATTATCAATTAATTAATCGATTAATCAATTTACTAATTAGTTTGTTAATCAACTAAAACCATGTTGCATTAATAATAGTCAATTGAAATATAATGAATATTCAGTAGACTTACTATTAAATTCAGACTTACTGAAATACTTAATTGCAATTAATTTTGTTATATGTCATATATACTGGTAAAATTAATTGAACCTTAATGTCGAAATAATTGCAATTAATAGCTACCCCAGTTAGGGTGTCTGATGCGAATTATGCGATTTATATGAAATTTATAATTAGATTAAGTGATTTATTATATGTTTCTTAAAAACTTCTCTAATAATATTTATTTATTTATTTATAGATTAAAATTCAAAGCATGTCGATTATCTGTTAAAATTCGTTTACAAGATGAAAAAAACACATTCTATATCTACTCATGAAACTGGTAACCAGATATATATTAATGTGATTTTACTTAGATTTGGTAACAAAGCTATCTTATTACACCAAAACTTATTCTTCACCAAATATTTCTAATAAATAGCCATTCATTAATAAGATCATTTGATGCAACTCCTTAATTATTTTATATCGATATAGTTAAAAGATACAGAATTTGAAAATAGCAATATTTATTAATTAAAATTATACAAACGTGTATTTATTCAAGTTCATATGATTTCATAAGTACATCCAAAAATTAGAACTGCATATAAGAAATTTGGTTCTAAAATTATTTACATCTTTTTTTTTTTGTTTGTTCAACTGCATTATTCACATTTTCATTTTTCAGATTATCTATTTTCCAACTATTTTTCCATTTTTTCACACTTTTTTTTTCTCCTTAATTTATCAATTGTTAATAGCAAATTACCCTCGACTTGATTTCTAGCAGCGATTGTTTCGTTAATTTCTATTTTTAATCTTTTAATTTCTTCTTCGTTTTCTACCTTCTCATGTTGTAACTTGGCAAGTTCTTTTTGTAGAACAGAGTACTTTAATGTGAGATCCGTTTGTATTTTTTGGACTCTGAACGGTTTGCTTCAAGGTCCTGAACCTTATTCTTTGATTTTTGAATTTGTGCTTTGAGGTCTTAAATCTTATTCTTTGCTTCTTGAATTTGTGCTTCAAGTTCTTTTTGTGACAATTTATCTAAGATTCACTTTTTCAATTTCAAGGTCCCGAATCTTATTTTTCAATTCTTGAATTTGTGATTCAAGTTCTTATGAGACAATTTAAAGTTTATGAGTTCCGATTCGAGGGTAGCATGTTTCGACAATAAGTTTGAATAGGCTTCTTTAAGCACAGTATTTTTAGATTTAAAATTGACAATCTTGGTTCCCAATGCATCGTTTTTTAGTCTTAGACTAGTATTTTCTATTTCGAAGGTTTTGGCATTTGAAAAAAGAGTTATCTACATACATAATATATAATTTTAAAGTGTCAAAAAAGTCACTAATAGTCAATGGACACATTTTTTCTTGTGATATTTGTGATGCTTGTTGCTCATGCTAGTTCTATTGTGGATAATCGTTTAATTGTTGCTCTGTATTTTTGTTGTCCTTCTAACTGTTAGATGTTTTAAAGTAATAATCAAACTGGATATCTGATTGAAAGAAATTTTATATTTAATTATATGCTCTTCATGCTTGACTTTTTGTTGTTCTTGCCATGAATATATAAATACTGCTTACAAATACTTTAGATTCTTCACTTGAGAAACCTCATATTAGTAAAAATGGCTTCATTCAAAACAGAAGAGCCAGAATTTAAGAATCTCTATCTACGTGACAGATCTCTTTTCTCGTGTCAACAGTCTCTACCTCTTCAAAATAATATTCAACACCAGTATTATAATAATATGATACTGGTTAATATTATTAACCAGCTTCAACATGATTTATACTACCAACCACATATTAACCATCGTCAAAATTTCCATCATAATAATTTCTCAACTCATCAAAATAATCAACCACAATTTAATGATCCATCTATTGAACAATTAGTTAATGTTTTTCGCTAGCTAAACATAAATGAAAACAGTAGCAATCACATCAATCTCGTAATTGAACATAAAAACAAAAATATGAACAACCAAAATTATGAAAACTTTAATCATAATCATGACAAAAATCAATCACACCAAGAAATCGTTAATCCAAATTGTATAGTAGTGCATATTAGCAATACATGTTCAAAGTTCCGTACTTTTATTTTAGTTTTAATGTGTTTTATTTTAATCCTTTTATTCGTAGCAATTGCTATCAAATTCAATAATCAAATTAAGGATTTGCAGTCTATTTTCGATAAAGACGATGATTTTTTCTTTTATATACAAATTATTTACTTTATTGATTAATTCAATTTATATTGTAATTAATTATTTTTCGAATATACATATTTGGTAGATTAATTCTAAGTTTTTTTTTTTTAAATTGAATCTATTTTTATCTCACTTTATTCGTCTCTTTAGAAGTAGTTCTTTTGTAGTTCTTTTTGGTGATGATTTTTTCTTTGTTTTTCATTCATTGCTTTAATAGTATTAATACCTCTGTCTTTTGTCATTTTGACAATTATTTTATAGTTTTAGTGATTTTGAAGTATTTTCATTTTTTTTTGATTTTATCATTCTTGTTCTATGTATTTATACAAATATTAAAATAAAATATTGCAGTATTGAAAATTTATGAGGAGGCACATCATAGAATTTATTTATAACTTTGCACAAAAAAAAATTCATAAACTACATAATTTATAACTCAAAATAAAAGGGATTCAGTTATATAAAATTTTAATTAGTAAATGCTGCTCCATTTTTAAATTTTGTATCCTTTAATTGTATTTATTTAGATTTTGTACTGTATAAATTCAATATCTCTTAAAGCTAGAAATCACATAAATATTTAAAAATCAAATCGGTGCCGACAGTCATTTCATCAAAAGTTTATTTAGCTATGGTTAGATTAGCATTTTGCTATTTCTACATAGTCTGCTTAACCAATCACAATTGAGAAGACTGATTAGTAATTATTATATATAGTTAATAATGAAAAGTTAACATCCCAAAAAAGGGAACAAATATATTTGATATCTGACAATCAATAAACTTAAATTTTCTTTCATGTCATATTCTAATAATAATTAAATTTGTTTATTCTAGTTACCGTATAAGTGCGAAATAACAGGCAGGGGCGTTATGGCCCGAATTAGGGTTAATTTAGGCAAAATTCGAAATTACATCCCTGCGCGTTATTTTATGCTTATACTGTATTCAACATTTCTGTAACATTTCTGTATTGGCAATAAATTCACTGCATTGAATCTGCATGAAGATTTAACATAAAGTTCAAAAAAAAAATTATCCTCAAAAAAACACTGAGCAGCCTAATGATTCAATCAATACCTTAATCTTGATAATGTTGCATGATTCAAAGAGAATAGAATTTAATAGATGATATCCTCTTATCCTCTTTATTCAATATTCAATGTTATCGTCATCATGACTTATTCATTAATTTTTATCGAATTTGATTGAATAGTTGTTGAGAAATAATTACTTTAAGTTTAAAAA